CTTTTATATATAAAATATATATATATAAATCAACGCGCCGTCTCACATTTTATATATATATATATATATATATATATATATATATATATACCCCTCTCCGAGAGAGATGGTGGAGGGGAGGCGAGTTTGTCGTTTATTATATATATATATATATATATATATATATATATATATATATATATATATATATATATATATATATATATATATATATATATATATATATACCGTCTAGTAATGGGCGGTCCGTGTACTGGTCAGCTGACGGACCGGTACGTACCACCCGTACCTGATGGTATTATTCGAAACTGTATACCTTGGATTGTTGTATAAATTCTTGGAGGTTATTTCATACATAATGAACGTCTTATGTTTTTGGGAAAGGGGTACAAAAGATGAAGCTTAAATAGGCAATAACTACTTTTTCAGTGCCCAAGTACACTGAGTTGTTATGCAAGCATTGATTTTGCTTTTCTTATAAGTTATTTTTTTTGTTTCATGTACTGCTTCTTTTGTTAGAAATGGCAATATTTTTTCGGTATTTGTCTCATTTTCATATTTAAGCTTCAAGATGTATGGCTGTGCCCTTTCTTTTACTAATTATGTGTTCTCTTTAGAAAACTAATTTATATGGACTTCCTTTTGTCTTTGTTGGTCTTTATCTTATATCTAGGAGAACTAGTGGTCCTATAAGGCGAGCTAAGGGTGGTTGGACACCACAAGAGGTAAGTGGCTTTTCATTGTTCTCGGCTTCTATCGTATTTGGGTTCATTAAGAACCACAAGCTATCCAGAATTTCAATAAATATCTTTGAATTATTATCTGACTTGGACTTGCAAATTTGTTGTCTCTCAAACCCAGATGGGTATTGCGACCTGATGAGGTCTCAACCCAATAACTATTTCCTGGTACCGTGTTTGACTAGTCTCTCATGGATAACGACATGTTGACAACATTCAGACACATATTTGTCTGATTAGGCATGGAGGCTAAAATGATAAAAGGGTATACAAAGAGGAATAATAATTTGCTAATGAATTATTTGAGTCACATATCATTTATTGTTGTGAATGCAATATTATGATGCAAGAATATAAGAAACTCTGGAAATAAAAAAGGATCTAGTGCCATTTCATCTCCAAGTTGTTTCTTGTAATATAAGCAAAAATTTTGGTAAGTTTTTCTGCCTGTGCGGAAGCAGAAGTCCTAGTAACATTATTTTTTTTCACTTTGATACAATAATGTTTAATTTTTTAGGAATGATTTTTTATAGTATCTTTTCTATTTGGAAAGCTGGAAGAAAATCTGACCAAAAATTAATTAGCTCAAGGGAGCAAGTCCTTGATTTCTGAAACCGCAGAAGTTTTCCTAAGAAGCAGAGGATTCTATTAAATACTGTTGTAGTGCTTGAATTTGTATTAGGCATACTAGACATTTTAACTTACATCTAGGTATCTTGGTATTATAAGTAATTTAATGATTATCTGAATGAATGCTCTCATTTTTTTCATGCTACTTATGTTTAGTTTTTCTTTTTTACATGGCATAGGATGAGACATTAAGGAAAGCTGTTGAAGCTTACAAAGGAAGATGTTGGAAGAAAATAGGTATAGTGATCTCATGCTACTGCTTATTCATTGTGATCCATAGACCAAGATAGTCTCCTTTAGTCCCATTTGTCTTCTTCTTTACAAATGTAGTTTGCAAATCTATGCAATATGTATATTTGCACCAAGGTTCGTCATAACATAACGTACCGCTCGATATAGGTGGTATGTACTGGTCCAATAGGGGACCAGTATGGGTGATACATTGGTACGCCCCCATGTACTGTGTCAGTGTGCTCAATATGGCTCGGTGCGGCTTGATATGTACCGTACTGATAGTTGATTGGTACCAGTACGAACCGATAAGGCGAACCATGATTTGCACATCATGATAGCGAGCTTTGGTGTCAGGGTAAGGTTGCAGTCATCGAAACAACTTTTCTGCTAGTAGCTAAGGATGCGTACATTGGCCCTCCACAGGAGCCATGTGTCCTTGAGTCAACCTTTATATGTCTATATGTATGTACATATAATGAATGATATCTTTAGCAATTGGAGAAAGTTCTTAGAGTTTTCAAGAGTGAGGTTTTTGATAAGATAATCTGGAGCATGAAGTTTAACTACAGATCAACTTAGCAAATTGGTCTTGTTACTAAGTGGTTAGTACCTTTTGATTTTATAGTAGACATGAATAGGTAACGCATCAAAATTTGGAAGCATCTAGGTATAGAGGGAGTATAGACACTTGCATGTCTTTGGGGTGAGAGAATATTTTTTTTCTGAGCATCACAAGCATTACATGTTTATGCTTGAAGCTTTATTGAAACTTTGCATGGAAAAGAACTGTATAAGAAGGTTTCTTAAACATTCTAAAAAATGCAAATTTAGATTTATAGTAATTTGTATGAGCAACTAGAGCTAGTTCATGACAGGATTTAAATCTCTCTCAGATATTAGTTTTGATAAATGATCATACCAATATGGTACTGGTATATTAGGGAGTATGCTTCAAAATTATCTTGAAGCAAGGCTTTCATTATTGGTCCAATTATGATTTTGACAACTTATTAATTTGGTACGGTCCTGAGGTACCAAGTTTTAATTGATTGCAAACTGATAAAAGGGTTTGTGAACATTAACCGTCTTGTAGTATCTTCGAATATTTCAGGTGATACTTCTGTTTGTAGTGGCTCTTGTTTAGTGTTATTCACTGGAAATTCTGCTCAGCTAAGTGTTGCTGTCGATCTAAGAAGGTCAATAGTTTTCTCATTTATAGTATGAAGGGTAAGATTCATGACTGCTCTAGTACAACTAGTTGATAAAGAGGCCTTTTGCACTGAGATCATATTTATGCTTCAGTCATAGACAGTACCAGAGAGACATGCATGCAATTTGATTATGAAGCAAATTTCCAGTCTTGAATCTAATAACAGGTTGGTGCTACTTCAATGAAAAAAGAAAAGGAAAATTAACATCTAGTGAGTGTACCTGTAGTTATATCCATGATGATCTTTGGTGCATAAACTGTTAATTTTATACCATGCCATACGGAGACCAAGGAGGTTTTAAGGGTCTCTAAGTTTGCAGGTATGATGATAGAAGGTGATCCCAGCATAAATCAGTGTATGTTCAGATTGTGTGGATTCTAGAATCAAAATCCCAAGTTTTTGTCCATTATATGAGAACTTTGGCAGTCTCACTAGTACATCCTGCCAACAAAATCTTTCAAAAGAACTTGAGAACAACAGAAGTGTTATTTCCCCACTGTTTGGATTACCTGGGTTCTGGTGTCAGCTTCTCAGTTGCCACTGTTACAAAGATTTAAATCTGAAACCGCTTCAATAGGAGGAGAACCAACCACTAGGCTAAGGCCTAGTTGGTTAAAATGCTTCATAAAACTAAATTATAGCTTTTTTATTAGGGACAGGATATATTATATGTTCCAACTATCTCCTTGATATTATTTGTTTTGCATCTACTAAAACATAATGAGATTTGTCTTGCCCAGGCATCTCTTTGTACTTTTGTGTTAGATCATCTTGCATGGAGCTATGAGTTATTGGTTTATGTTACAGTTGTTGCAAAAGTCTTTTCACTTCAAAGGTTTTAAATATATAAAGCTTTAGGATCCTGAATAACACTGCAACTTTTTTATAAGAAGTTACTACAAACATTCTCCAATACTTGATGCTATATGTTATTCTCTGTCTGTGCAGCTGAATTTTTTCCACATAGAACTGAAGTACAATGTCTTCATCGGTGGCAAAAGGTTCTCAATCCTGAACTTATTAAAGGTCCATGGATGCCCGAGGTTTGATGCTTGCTTCTTTTCTTAGTATGGTGTAGCTTTAGAGAATTAATACTTCAAGACATGATCTTATTTCCCATTTTAATTATAGGAGGATGAGAAGATCATCAGTCTTGTAGCAAAGTACGGGGCAACAAAATGGTCTATAATTGCAAAATCTCTTCCTGGTCGAATTGGGAAGCAATGCCGAGAGAGGTGAATTCAGATCATCTGCTTTGCAACTACTTAACTCAATGTCAAGAAGAGAAATTTATATAATGGAATTTGTTTTGAGAAATTTATTCATTGTAATTACATTTTGTTTTGAGAAATTAGTTTCATAGTTCTTTTTTATGTCTAAAGTTTTACCTCTAAGGGGAATTTTTTCTATAAATGTTTAAAGTTGTTTGCATAAAATAAATGACAAATTAGGAAATTAGGTGAACTTGAGCTTTCCAAATAGCTACTTTGGCAAAAAATAATGTAAATTTATTCTTATCAATCTTCTATCTTGGTGATAATGAGAAAATGCTAATAGAAGAAATTTATAGTTTGAAAGAATGACCTCTTTTTGTTCTTCTTTTCCTAATATAAATAATTTTTTCCCATTTGCCACTATAGAATAAGAAACAACAATTTTACTCCTAAATACTCCAAGGATGTCAGTCAACTCCATTTGCACATACTGGACATAAGGGATTTCCATGACTCCATGGTCTCTCAGAAAATACCGGTCAATATTTCGCACACTATTGCAGTCATAACTTCTTTAGTACGGAAATGATCTTTAGTTAATGAAAATCAATTTTGGAGCATCTTGTACTCAAGAAGCTGTATTATGATATTAATAGGTCATCCTTCGAAGGTATAATACACTTGGCTTCTAGTGATTTGCTGATGTTTGTTCCCATGAAAAGTGAATATGAACTTTTACTTGAATTTCTGGTTTGGTGGTTGATTAACTCTTTTCTTTTCTATATTTCCTGTTAAACTTCTAAATTCACCAAAGAACCTCATTTCTATGGTTTAAAACTAATCTATGGACTCGACACCTAGCGAGCACCAATATCTTGTTACGTCAACATTGTATTTTTTTTTTAATATGACTAGATTTTTCATTGTCCTAAATGAGAAAACTAATCTGGCATCCATGTTTTGATTCCAAGTACCTACTTCATGTAACTTCTATAGGCTGTAAGTGACAACTTAAATCTGTAATTTTTACAGTTTAATGATATCTTAATGAACTTATGGTTTAAAATTCATTTGAAGGAGCAATTTTTTAACTTTATAGGTGGCATAATCATTTGGATCCTACAATAAAGAAAGATGCATGGACCGTAGAGGAGGAACTTGTGCTCATGAATGCCCATTGTGTACATGGAAATAAATGGGCAGAAATTGCAAAGGTCTTACCTGGAAGGTATTGACTCTCGTCAGACATGTTAGTCAGTTGTATTTTCTGGAAGTCTTCTAATGGTTTAACTTCTTAATCATAGAAAAGGAAAACCTGAACATGTGTAAAACATGCATATCTAGGCTTGTAGCTTCTTGCAAAATTTTATGGGGCTTAACTGATTACTTTCTGTAATGCGACTCCTATTGTGAATTATCTTTTTGGATTTCATCCACTCAATTTTTGGTGGTAAGGTTATCTTGTCTTTGTTATGCTCTTTACTATGAGCACTTATCTGCTGTTTTCTATGGACATACTTATTTATAAGTCTGGACATTATATAATGTAAGTGAATGTATTTAACATTTTTATAACTAGTATTAACTGACTTTATTTTTGGTAGATACTCGTCAATTTCTGGCTTTCTTCATTTGCTAGCACTTATCATTTTGGTATGATTTTCTAAATCTCTTTCTGTGGCTAGGACTGACAACTCGATAAAAAATCACTGGAATAGTTCCTTAAAGAAAAAGTTAGATTTCTTCATGGCTTCTGGTAAGCTTCCACTGTTTCCAAAACCTGAGATGCTTGATGATTCAGAGGCAATAACCAACCTAGATGGTAGACATTCACTTCTTAGTTTGAGCGAAGGATCAGATACAATTACCAGAGCTTTTTCTGGATCAGTTTGTTCCTTTGATTCTGGTTTGCCTGCTGAACCATGGAAATTGGAAGACCAAAGTAATTGGTTGGCATTGTCAACAGTTCAAGACTCTAAGACAGAAGCTTTAACAAATTTGACTGTAAGGGGAATTAATGATCCAGATACTGGATGCAGCAAGCATACCTCGACATCTGATATCTGCACTAGATCTGATCCAGAAACAGAGTTGGCAGAGTGTAGCAACTCCGGTGAGAATGATCAGCTGAATGATACCTTGCAACCAACAAAATCAAAGTTGGAAACTCCTCCTGATTTTGGTTCTCTCTTTTACAAACCATTCCAACTAGAAGATGTTTGCCTTTCTGCAGCTTCTACTCTATTAACCACACATGATTCCATCCAACAATCATACTGCTCAGCGATCGTGACTTCGCCAAATAGTTATCTGACTCCTCCCTCTGTGACCGGGAGGAATTCAATTCAAAGTGTTGAATCTGTATTAAAAAGTGCAGCTAGAAGTTTCTCCAACACTCCCTCTATTTTCAGGAGGACAAAGAGGGAAGCAGAAACGATGTTTGCTTCTGATAGTAGTTCGTCACAGCCAGATAGGTTAAAAATTCTGGACACTTCTGGTACTACTGTAGAAGGAAAGAGTGGAGATAACTCAGAGGCAACCGATTCTTCAAAATTCAGTTCTAGTCCTTGTGACAGTGGAACCATATTATACAATGGAAAGAGCTTTAATGTTTCTCCCGCGTACAGGTTGAGGTCCAAAAGGTCTGCAATCGTCAAATCAGTGGAGAAGCAGCTTGATTTTACATTCAAGGAAAATGATTGTGATGGTAATATTGAACACCTGAACTTGCCTACAGACAGCAGTTCCCATAGTTCCAATACCATCCTTCCGAGCATACAGGAGAGGAAATTAACTGAGCCTCCAATTGGATCGTAAAGTGCCAAGAACTAAAAAAACATTAAGATGGCCATGACCACCTCATACACAAGATGTAAGTATCTTTTGTAACCTTGATTTGTTCCAAACGGTGCATATTTTGGTTGATACAAGTTCCCTTTAGATATCTAACATGGACCGAACTAACTTATTTAGTACTCAATTTTTAGTTATTGCACTTATATATGATACCATACTGAAGGATTTCCCTTTGAATTTTTAAATATACTATAACTACCTACTTATCTGCCCCTTTTTTTTTCTCTTTTGAAAGATTCTTGCTATCCGACAATTATGAACTGATTATTTGCCAATTATGACCTACTAACTTGTTTTTTTTGCTCCTGTTTGTTGACAGGTATGATTCTTACTTGGATCTAGCAGGTTAAAGACTTGAGATGTGCTGCAGATCCAAAATTGAAAATCTGAGTAAACATTTGGCGGATTGGTAATCTCCACTGATACCCAGTGGTCATGCAAGTCTGCGTTGGTTTCTCATTTGAAATGTACAGATGATGTCCTAATTTTGCAGAAATATGCTATTTTGCACAAAGGATGTCCAACTTACATGAAGATGTTCAAGCATCCAAAACGGCATAATTGTACATAAACAAACCCCCTTAAGATGAGAGAAATGGTTTTAGAAACCTGCAGTGGAATAAAAGCTCATCATGTCTTCACTCGGCCTTCACGTCTACTTCCAAGTAGGATTCTCGTCAATCATCGTCTCCTTGACCTTTATACTCTGTTGTTTGCTATGTCGTCCATTTACATCATGGTATGCTACTATCGTATTCATCATGGTATGCTACTGCACCGGAAGCTTCATCAAGGTATATGCTATTATCGTATTCAATCTTCGCTTGCGAATGGAACGCTTAATTGGTCTCTCTATTCAGTTGCTTGTGTTTGCTTTGTAGTGCCATGGCAAACTGGAAGACTGACGGACCTTTGGAATCTGAGGGTAAAGCTGCTGCTCCAAATACCCAAGGTCTGTTTCCCTTCCTCTTGCATCTATTTCACCTTATATGCCACATGACCTATGAGGTGATAAGGATGGAAATGGCCCACTACTGGCCCTATCCATTTTGAAAGTTTGTTAGGAGTGTCTAAGTGTTCAGATGCTCGATAAATGAAAATTATAATAGACATCAAACAGAGTGACTCTACACGATTCACTGACTGCTACGATTCAAGAACAAGGAAATCTGAGGAAAAAAGCTACAGACGTTGGATGGTAACGCAGCGACAATGATGCAGAAACAGAGCAGCCCCAACCCCTACTGCCCTCAGCGCTCGTTCATCTCCACCGACGGCCACTGGCGACACCCGAACTGCTCCAGAAACTTGCTCAGGCTTAAATGCTTCGTCGCCCATTGCTCTGTCAACTTGTGCTCCTTCGCTTCCGCCTCCCTCCTCAGTCCGGCAATCTGCTCCCTGTACTCCGCTTCGATTCGTTCTAGCGCCGCCCGCTGCTCCTCCCTGAGCGCCCTGATCTTGGCCTCGATCTCCTCCATCATCTCCCTCCTCTTGCAGGCTTTCTCCGCCTCCAGCTGCAGCTCGACCCTCTTCAGCCTCCAGGCCGCTTCTTTCTTGTGCGCCGCCCACGCCCGATGCCCTTCCTCCAGTTCTTTGCAGCACTCGACCAGGTCGGCAACGACGCGGCCATCCACCACGGCGAACCCAGGTACAAAACCCGGACCGTTCTCCACGGCTCGCTCTGCTTGCGTCCAGGGCATGCGGGCAGGGGGCGCAGCGGAAGGCGAGAGAGTAAGAGCCACGGAGGGAGATGGCGGCGGCCGGTGGGCGCCGTTGGTGTTGGAAGAAAGCCATGGGGGAAGTAATGGCGCAGCCATCAGCTGCTCTTTCACTAGCTTTTCCGCGAAGCTCTCGAGGATGCGGTCGTACTTACCCGGATCGGTGGAGCTTACCACGGACTTGCTAATCTCTCGCTGCACCACCCTCTGCTGCTTCTCCTTGAAGACCTCCCACCACTTGCCGAGCCTTTTGGCGGTGCGGCCTGGGACCTCAGCGGCGATCTTCTTCCACTTGTTGCCGTACTTGGCCTGTAGCCCGATCACGAGGCGCTGCTCCTCCTCGGTGAGCGGCCCCTTCTTAACTCCCGGCCTGAGGTAATTCTTCCACCTCTCCAAGCAAGATTTGGCGTCCCTGAGCAGGGGCACGTTCATGCGCTGGGACACCAGGTGCCACTCCCGCGGCCCATACTGCTTCACGTACGCACACAAGACGGCGTCCTCCTCAGACCTCCACCGCTGCCTCTCCTTCATCGGCAGAAGCCAGTCTCCATCTCACAAGACACCTCATACCGATCTGCAATCAACAGTGCCTAAAAATCTCGGGTAAGTTTTGGAGAAGGCAGATTTAAGAAGATGATGGACCACAAGAATTAGGAACCGCATATGGATGCATTTAAGTCAGCTGTCGGAATGCGTAAGTTCAGCGAACCAAAACAATCAAAATCTAAAGGTTCGAAACAAAGGTGGGATATCAGACCAGCAGCGTGTTTGATCCCCGAGTGGCATCAAAGAAACATCACTTCTTGTACTACAAGGCGAACAACAAATGCACACAATGGGCATGGCGTAATTGACATGAAACACAAGGAAGAGTAAGTCTTAGTGTGTCAAAACCGTAGAAGATGAGATGGTACATGAACAGATCCGAAGCTACTTCAAATTCTTTTGCAATCTGTGCAGGTCCTTGAGATGTGAATGACAATCAGTACCAGCTAGCCACTCGTTCATGCTGTGGTGTGACTGCAACAAACATGGAAAAGACAACTTCTCTCCATCTGGAATGGCTCTGGTAAGGACTTCCACTGCCCTCTAAATTTTCAATTCAGAGTCTACTAGGTCATATTATCTGTGTTTATTTCTACTACGCTGCCCCTTTCTATTGTCTTTTAGTTCTACATTTCCAGAGGTATGCATCCTTATTTCTTTTCAATATTGTTAGAATCTTTGCCTTGTTAGAAATAGAGAAATCCACATCTACAGAACTACTTTTTTTTTTGGAGATGAAGACCAAGCAAAGAATGGTCATGAACTATAAAGGAGAAACCTCAGGAACATGCTTTTAAGCAAATAGGTCAATAGAAAAGCATGGCATCAGGCCTCAGGAAGGCACTGAGATGTGTAGAACAGAAGAACGAAGACTTACGGCGCCCTCCGTCCGAGCTTCGGTGCGGAGTGTGTCCTGCTGTTCAAACCCAAGCAAGACAGCTCAAGGGCAGATACATATTGAAACATGACACTTGGTGAAGAGAGAGAGAGAGAGCAAGGGAGGGAGGTGAAGAGAGAGTATAAGTAGAAGGCAGAGGCGGAGGTGAAGAAAGGGATTACCAACCTGGTGCGGGAGCAGGACCCTGTTCTCAAAGGATCCCTACCATCAATCTTGTCAAATCTCGTACCTACCCGTGTGACCCACAGCACAGCACGTAAAGGAGAGGGGACGAGAATGGTAAAAAGAGAGAGAGAGAGAGAGAGAGATGGGAGGCACGACAAAATGACAGGGAATCCCTTTGTTTCTTTCCCTTTGCCTTTGCTCCACTGTGTCGATCAAGACAGAGTCCAGCATTTTCTGTCTCTTCGTTCAGTGGAACCCACCATGGCCACCAGAGCCGTGGACTACACAGAGCGCAGAGAGTTGAGGAGACGGAAGGGATTTGGTGACGACAAAAGGAGCGCGGTGTAGCTGAATGAAACAAGAAGAGACAAGAGAAGGCGAAGTAGAAAGACCAGTGAGTTGAGTGAGACAGAAATGACAAAGGAAAAGGATTTCCGTCACGTCTTTTCCTGATACCACAAGCGAGTAACGAGAGAAAGAGAGAGAGATAGAGGGGGTGGGGGGTGGGGAAAGAGCCAAATGAGAGAGAGGAGGTCGCAGTTAACTTTTAGCTCTTCCTACCTCCCAACACCACCTACCCACCCCTCTCTTTTTGGTCTTTTCCTCCTCTTCGTCCTTCTTCATCTGCTCTCTAACAGTATTCGACCCTCAGCACGCACAATGCAATCGGCGATGAGAACCAGCACATGTTGGCTCGGTTCATATTAGAACGTACAAGATTTGAGGACTTCTTCGGTGACAAGCCAAGGAATCCTGGTTGTGTGCTCCAAACACAGCTGAGCTATTCCTCCCTACAGATTGCTACCTTCGATGATCTTTCGTTCCGTCATCAAAGGAAAAAGAAGATTTAGAAAGAGAGAGAGAGAGACAGAGAGATGTAACTTCACGGGAGAGAGGACGAGGAAGGGCTGGCGCTCGTCTCTTTCTCTGCAGTGGAAGCATTAAATCTTAACAGTAGCATCGTACAAAGGCGTCACTTTTCCTTCCTCTCAACTCTCGTAGAAACACCAATCTCCCTCTGTGACTATACTCACGCTTGCTACCGATACTGTGTGGCTCTCTCTCCTCGTCGTTAACCCGTCTCTTCCCAACCTTCCGTGCTGCTTAGGGTTTTGGACGGTAGGGCGACCGACGCACGAAGCTTGGGTGGGGCGAGGAGTGAGCGAGCGAGTCATGGAGTGGTTTTAGGCGACACTGACGTCTCGTCCGCCCCGGTACGAGCGGGAACTTCCGCTTTATCTACCCTTCCCAGCCAAGGCCATGATTAGAGAGAGAGAGAGAGAGAGAGAGAGAGAGAGATATGGT